TTAAATTATTCGTGCTCGGTGTTTCACTTTAATAAGAGTTTGTGTTCTCACAACCGGGATCAAACGGATGGATGGTACCATAGTTTACTGCCAAACGTTAATTGAATTGAAAATAGGTACTTGAAGTCGAGAATTAATCAAACGAAACCAGTCGGGAGATCGAAGAAAATCAAATGAAGATGCAAAGCTCAGCTCAAGCGCTTAAGAAATGGGGCCTTAATTCTACGAGTGTAATTTATTCGCACTTGCACTTGCAAAGCAACTTGTTATTCAAGTCTTCCTCATCTCGAGTCATAATCGCTTGTTCATCTGTAAAGTGTAGCTGAACGGATTATGTTCAAATATATTCTCATGATCCTCCAGCTCCTCTTCAATTCAATTCTTCAATTCAATATTGTGCATCCCCTGAGTACTTCTGCAACCGATTTAGATCTTCGCTACTTCGACTACTTTTACGCCGTCATCGTACGTAAGTTAGGAAAATTTCCACCTTGAGACGTTTTGTAGACTGAAACAACAAGTTTCATTATCCGGGGGCATATGAAAGGTCGTAAAATATGTGAAAGAGAATCATTTTGGCAACAGCACATAACAGAAACAACCACTTGCAAACATTAATCATATCGTTTCTTCCATCGTGCGAGTAAGACAAATGATGTTAAACGTTTCGGCTGCCGTTGCCGTGAAAACCTACAACATTATTATGACGGATGTTGAGTATCTTGATGTTCTTCGGAAATAAATTGAGCATCATGTTCCCGGGTATTGCCAAAGATCAGCAGGCGAACTTAAATGAGTTTTGCCCAGTTTTTAAAGCACTTAATCCAGGCAAAAAGGGGCCAGAATGATTAGGGTGGGCAAATCCAGCCGATGCTAAAAACGGATTTATTCGCACAAAACATGCCAATTGAGCGCCCAGTTAATGCAATCAATCCGGCAATTAATTATTTACCCAAGCTGTTCGATGTAGGCAAACTGTTTGCACAAAGAACCAGCATGGTTTGTTCAGGCGACTATTCTGGAAACCGGAATTATCTCCCTATTCAGAACTGATGCTGTGGGATTTACGAGTAGAACTGTTGCCTTTGAACGTGAAACGATTTTAAATCGGGTGTTAGCAGCAGCCCAATTGATGATCGTAATCGGCCAAAGGTATAATCCAACAAATATGGATCAGTGCTTCATTATTTGAATTTGGGTTTTAAACTGCTTCAAATAATGTGTCGAGAGAGGTGTTGATGGAAACCTAAAACTTAAACTGGATGGCAAATCTTTTCCTTCTTCGGGTCAAGCACAAAATGTGGGAAAACTTGATAATCAACTCAAAAGCTTCTTATGTAGACCACAATAGCCCGATTGTCAATAAATTGCCAACTGACTTTCGATCTCAATCAACATTGAGTAAAACTTTACCCCGTGCAAAGCTGAATATTTATTAAAAAACAAAACATAGTTCCAGGCCGATTTATTAACAATTGACGAATGTTCATTCGGTCGAGCTTCAACATTTGTTCAAGCTGCTCAAAAATGGATTGGCGCACAAAAATCAAATTTATTATGCAACACTAAACATGAACGATATTGGCGTTTTATGTTCTGCCTAAACAGCAAAAGCACCCAATATTGGCACAAACAAAAATTAGAGACACAATAAAATATTTGGTTGGAATAATTCAAAATCAAGTTCCTTCCGCTCTGGATGAGACAATATTTGAACGGGCGCAATTTGCTTTGAACTGCACTTAATTCCGTCGAAATGTAAAACCTAGATAAACCATAACGTTATTTGAATGTTGTCAAAGAGGTATTATCCAGCTCCGGCTACGATTTTAGTTATGCAGTAAGCAAAAGCCATTAAATCCAGACAAAGGGTTGCATGGAAAGATTTGAAAAGCCGCTTTCCACGGCTGACAATATCCATAGCGAATAAATAAAGGAGAAAAATGTGTTTGTTGCGGATACGGCCTTTTCAGCCCATTCTTTTTCGCCTGAAACACGCCGCTTTCAAGTTTTAATTAGCGCTTTTTAACTAGATCTTCTGCTCGCATAATAGGTTTTACTCGCATTAAAATCGGATTTCTTTAAAATGCTTCGCGATCTATTGTTAGCAATTTTCTGGTTTAACTTTAAACAGTTAGAAAAATCATCCCTAGTTGACTACTCTTTTCTATGATTTATTGTTGATCAGCCCTGATATATTGCCCGGCTCGGGGTAGGAGTAGCTTGTGGTCTCTGTTCATCCCACGGGGCTAGAGTATGGGCGACCGCCCTCGGATCAGTTCGAAACTAGCCATTTTGTTACGAGGGGAAGTCAATAACACCTTAAAAAATTTTACACGTTAAAACCCCTCATAAACTTTCCTCAAAAAAATCAACGGATTAAATCGGAAACCGCGTGTGGGTTCAACACCTCATTATCAGGGAGTTTGTTATCTCCAAAGGAGGTCTTCATGGTTGCTGAAAAATTGCCTTATTAATACGCTACATTATCTGCTCGCACTTCTTGTTATATACCATATTTTATAGGGCGTAGCTATTTTTCTTTGGCGGATATTTCATTTATCTCCGATATGAGATGGGGCGGACACCCGTCAGGTGTGCGAAAATGTTTTGCCCAAAAAGAAATATCTAAACACGCACAATATAAAGGAAAACAGCCCTGTCGGGGATCCATTGCAGTGGGGATTTACGGGTTTTAGTTTAAGGATGTGACGACTTAGAAGTAATGGAGGAGCGAAACCGCTGTTTACCTTTTTTCCTAGATCTGTTCCCAATAAAAAGCCCAAAGTCGCGCACCGACTTGTAAATGCTTAATAAGCTTAAATCCATCTCTGTAGCATAAAGCAGCTGCGTTCAAGACAAACGTGTAAACCATCCAGGCGAATTGCAACTTGGATTTGTAGCCTACAATTTAACATCGCACTCTAGCAGGGACAGAAAGTGATTTCCTAAATCACCCTCTTTCGACGACACATTCTCTATTGCATGGCTTCGGAGGCTTTTTGCACTCGTCAGATAATTGCAGCCGTCCCAAGAGGGTCGAAATCGGGCCCAATTAATTGTTCTTCGGCTTAATTAAATTTCGAGGTATCGAGGCATCGTTAAAATGTCAGCATTAAAGTGCGGAAACTGACGCCAAGTATCAGGTGTGCAAGGGAAGTGTCTTTGAGATTTATGGAAGACTCTGGAATTGCAACCAAAGGCTCTTTGTAGGGAGCTTTATTGGAAATGGATGCTGTTTGAGCTGCAAATGGGCCTCCATTGCCGCTGAAGAAGCACCAAATGCAAAGCACACATTTTCCTACATAAAACATCAACATCGAGCATCTTTTCCTCAGTTTTTCCACAAAATGTTGCAACTTCCATCGACCGAATAGTCGATTAAACAACAATCTTCCTTGTATAATTGAAGTGGCTGCAAAGGACAAAGAAATGGAAAGAGAGGCGGCATGTAATTGAAATATCTGGCCTGGCGATTAAGAACAAAGAAGAGCGCTAGACGTGGCAAGAAATGAAGATAAATTAGCTGTAAGCAATGATAGTAGCGTCCATTTTTATTTGGAAGCGAACGAGTGTGAAATTTAACCGCACGAGCTGATTTAAAACAGAACATTTAATCAGCTACCGACGTTCGCAGCAGCAAAACTTGCAATTGACAGCAACGTAATTTATTATTCGATTTGTAACTTCCGAGTTAACAAGTTGTTGGGATCGGGATTAGAGTTTGCAGTTGCCGCAACTTCCGGCGGTGAAATGTCATGCAAATTGAGAACCGAATCGGTAATACGAGATCTGAAGGACAGTTGAGGTTTGGGAGAGGAAGCAGACTTTGAATATCGTGTTAATACATAATTCATTTCGGCGGCTTCCATTAGGATAGCGGTAGTGAATGGAAACAGGCCTAATGCTGTTATCAACTCTATGCCTAAAACGTTCATCTACATATGTTTCTTTACCAGCTAAGCTTTGTTTGGAACTGTATTTCAAAGTTACCAGCATCTTCTTAGGCAGCGCAACCATGCTATAAGTTCATAGGTTCAATCTGCTTTAATCTCCTTAGTGCCAAAGCTGATGATGCAATTTGGCTGAAGCTGCCGAAGCTGAGCGCTGCAATTATTTATATATAAAACTATTGTGAATATTTGGAAACTGGCAGTTGAGCGATAAATTCATGCCACGCAGTCACACCTTTTCTCAATCCCTATTGATTCGTTTGTAAATTGTTGATAATTGGTTTTTAAGTCGCAATTTTGAGGAATATCTACTGTCTTAAAAAGTGTTGGAAATATCAAAATCTGTCTTTTTCGTTCGTTCGATTTTATTCGCATGTGGCCCCGATTTTTCCAGGTCTTTCCGGTTCATTAAATGTGCGATTCAACCTTTTAATAATTCAAAAACTCATTCCTTTTTGAGGAGCTTGTCTGTAGTGTTTCAAAAAAATGACAAGAAATAAACACTCTAAACATGCAAGCAACTATACAGATTATAAAATATACATATAGACTGTAGAATATAAATTAACAAAAATAATATTAAACATAGTAGTGGGGGCTGCAACAATGTGAACACTGCCATTATTAACCCTTCTAACACCCTTCTTTTTAAAACGAATTTATAGTTAATTGGATAAATATGTACAAAGCGACGTTTAATAGGAATGTTTTCAATTAAAATCATGTATAAAATTTACACTTGAACATAACGTATAATGAACGGATTCTAGCCAGCAGGCACAGCTAATGTAAATCTCGATTTTAATTTAATTTCGCCAAATAATTGAAAATGCCTACTTGCAAATAAATTCCGATGTTAACGAAATGATGGCTGAATTATTAAAAACCAGATACAAAACATTTTCCGTTCTGATAAAACGCATTATTTATAATGCGAACGCGAGTGCGTTTTAGTGGCGCGTCGCGTTCAATATTTTATCAGCAATTGCAATAGCGCTGTACAATTTATTATTATCGTCAATATTTAAATGGAATAAAAGTACTCACCCAATGCCAGTCCGCCTGCCAAACTAAAGAGCCAAAGGATAATCATGGCTAGTCGCAGACAAAACAAATCCACAAATGATGGTTGATGTTGTCAACCTTAAACAAGAGAAGTTTTATTAAAAATTAACAGTTCTTGATGGTTTTTATGCAAGTTTTTTGGGCCTTAAAATCCCAAGATGAACAACAGTTCTCGTTCTCAAACGGCATCAACGAAATTATGCGAAAACCTGAAGACAAATGTTGATTTTTGCAATTAGAATATCTTAGCATTTTCTTAGGGCATCCAATTAAAAACTCCAACCGGAAAATTCAAATATCTACCTGAATTTATTTTGCGGCTTAACATAAATTAGAAATTCCCACAGGAATCCATTATTGCATATTAGCGGGCTGAAGGTTTGAGTTATTTGCCGTTAATTTATAAAACATTTTATTTAATGTTGAAAATGGATGGCAACGAGATATGATTTTAAATCGGGGATTTACAGCAGATCCGATCAGCAGGCAGGCGATTGCCATGTTGGTAAAAACAGCTGCGAGGCGAAATTTCGTTTCGCGCCGGAAGCCGACCTGGATCAGTTTTTGGACAACATCTTCAAGCCGAATTTCCTGATGCCAACAATATATCAAATAATATTCGCGAACGTTTTAAACATATAACACTTCAGCGTGTCAGCAACGCACAGGATTTATGTGAGACAAAAACCGGATATATAGCGTGCCAGCGAGTTGAAAATCCTATTAAGGGTTTGCTAAATTTTCCACTCAAAGTCCCTTGTCAAGTACCCAAAATAAATTGCATCATAAATATGTAAATACATCAAGTATGTGCCGTGTTTAGGCTTTGTGGCTCAGTACCTAATAATAAATATGTTATTGCGATGCGGGCTTGATGGCTTCAACTCATTTCCCTATTGTGAAGTGTGTTTAGGCCGTCGTTGATATGAATTCGATCCTGACGTTTCGCTACCACTCATGACTAGCATCCTCAGAGTGCATGTGTGTATTTCATGATTAGATTTTTATCCAGCGAAACTGGTTTTTCCATTCTAGAACGTGGCTCGCATCGGTTATCTCGCTCGGATATATGGGCGCCTGTAAAGGATGCCCGATAGCAGGTGCACTGTTACGTTACAAACTGATACCTTTGCAGCTTGAAATTTTCAACTTTAGGCGAGGCAAAGTTTGACTCGAAAACACCGAAAATCAGGGGAATATCTGATAGTAAAATCATAGTAWGAGAAAATGTAAGAAAAAATTCGGCACTTTCTCATGTTGTTCCTACTTTGTCGATCGGTAGAAATGAATATTGCTCCCAAACACATCGGGATTTATGAATTTTTAGCTTCGTCTATCTATTAAAGTCTGGTTGAAACTATAGCAAACTTGTCCCCCCACGTTTCACTAGCACACATGGCTACCCTCTTTAGAGGTGTGTTTGCCTGGGCGGCCTAAGAGCCCGAATCAGCGATTCTTCAAGAGTTTCAGCAGACTCTTTAATGCCTCAATTTTTGCATAAAAATTAAGACCTGAATCGATTAGTTTTTCGCAAGGAACAGGCCTAAGGACCCATCTCAAATGGGCCATTCCATAACCAGCCTTTCTCCAAAACTCATCCACTTAGCCTTTATAGTCAATTTTATTACCTTTTTCTCACTCGACTCTCGCCCCCCATTTTCATCGGAATTAATTTTAAACTTCCCGTCGACGCCCCTAATTGCTATCCCAAATTTATAACCTGCGGTCGTATTTTGATGAAAATATCCATAATCGGTCCTGTCAACAGCGAGGGTTATTTTTGCTACCTAGAGCACACATTCCCGATTAAATTCTACTTTGCTTCCAGCTAAAATCTGCCTAAGTATATATTGTGACGCTCTATTAATTTAAGCCGCTTGGAAGTCTGGGAAATCTGATTGCCCCCTAAAATGATCAAAGCGTCATCTGTCCAAAACCAACAAATCTCTAGCTGATATCGTTGTCTGGAAAGCGGGTTCCTTGCAGAATATAGATAAGGGCAAAGCGCATTTCGAGGCAATAATGTCGGACGAATGGTCTTATTGTCATCTGCAAATACCGCGTTCTGTTGTGCCTCCAGAGAGTAATCTTAGTTTGGACGTTTCTCCTTTGCACAACGAACAAAAGGACCAGCTTAAATATCCAGATTTATAATATACTTAACTTGCTTGAATTGAACTTGTGCTTAGACGGAATGGGGCAGTTTTCCAGACTGATAAGACCCGGATATTCTTCATGATAAAGTCATCTTTTTCGTTACTGGCATGCACTTCCACTTGTTCGTTTACGTATTTATGGCGATTTCTAGAACTTTCCGAGGGTTAAACCTGTCTTGACACGATGTTTTACTGGATTTTTCATAATGCCCGCAATAAATGTGATTTAGAGTGACACTTCTAAATTCCAACAGCTGTAACTTTTCTAATTAAAAGTTTTTATCGTTCTATTTCCTTGATTTAGATGGCAATAAACTCGCGTTTTGAGGTTTTCCTGGCATTACTCACAGGCAACCAACGGAAAGCGATCTATTTACAACTTAACTATTCAGCCAGATAGTTTTGCAATATTTTCTTCCATACAAACACACTTAAGCAAAGCTTAATCAGCCGGGATTTTATTGTTTTTCTGCACGATGTCCTATTTCTTTCGGATAGAAATCCAATATCGCACGCGGACATTCTTAGTAGTTTATCTGGCTTGTGGGGCTTTATCATTGATTTATGCCGATTTAAGTCTGGAAATATCCGGACCCGATAAGCTGTGTGTTTTTCCTGATTAACTCCTAATTGGAGCACGGCCTTGATTTATTTCGTTTTTTTTTTTGGATTTGACATGAAGATTAACACACCGAAATCGATGTTTGATTCAACTGACATTTATCTGACACCCCTGGTAAGTCTACTCAGTCATTTGAAGTTTAATAAATCTACTCCAGTGGTGGTGTCACGGTGCCACAGAGTGAGAGCAACGTAGCGCGCGCGATCTGTTTTGGACCGGTTTTCCTGATTTACCAGGGGGCGAGCAAAAACTACTATTGGAAATAACCAGATTTAAATTTTTTATTTTCTTGTCTCCTCTCAGTCAATGTCAGCCACCAACTAATGTGGAAATGATGTTACAGCGAAATGCAATAAGTGCAGCGTTCACACAGTAGGTATACGAGTGACATGTGACAGCGAATAAACATTCACTATTCAATGCGACTGAACGAGTTTAAATTGATTTCAAGTGGTTTTCGGGTGTTTATTTACTGGGACATAAAGCAAGTGCATTTTGAATGCAGCCAATTTAGGCGTAAAGTGTAAAAATTAAACATTTCCTTAGGGAAAAATCCAATAAATATTGTTTTTTAAAACAAAGTAAAGCGAAGGAAAACGTGCTGCGTGACTATTATTTAAAGCTCTAAGTCGAGTAGGAGAGAATTTCGTAAAATTGCTGACGGTTTTGACGCGTTTCCCTGTTTGCATATACACAGTTCGCGGAGCAATTTTCAATATTTCCCGTCCCTTGTAAACAAGAAAATTCACTGGAAACTGGGAAAACGACACGAGAAAACGTGTTTGAATTCGCATATGCAAAATGTGAGTCTGCATAATCCTAGAATATCTGTTTTAGCGAAAAATTTCACGGGTTTTATGCAAATCGGGCATCTTTTTATTCTCATATTGCCTTCGTCGGCTTAAGGCAACGCTGGGAATTGCTTCAGCAGGAAACCAGATACCCTGCGGTCGGGATATGGAGAAAGTGGTTCGGTTTTTGCTCGTTTTGATGTGGTTTCGATATTTGCCAGTTGGACATTGAAATTAAACCACACAGATCGGAGCGATGTGAGCAGCGAGTTTTTTAAAGGTTGTTATAATATTTCAAGAATAATTAATTAAATTTTCAAAGGGACGCGAAAAGCTCGGCGCTCCGAACAATCCAAAGTTATGGTGCGGTTTCTATACCAAACTGAGTAAATTTGAGGATATTTCAGAATAAAATTCACCATTGCGGTTTTGCAAACAATCCCACTCAGGACATTACGAATTTAGGGTCGAGTACAAGCCAGGTTGAGGGAAGTTTGCAACAACAAGCTCAAAAATACTAATTTGACTCTAGTTTGCACCAGTTTATTTTGTATTGTAGGCTTAGGCGTTTGCTTTCCACCCAATTTGTTATTATTATTAGTTCAGTATTTGATACTGTCGTTTATTGTCCCCAATTATTTGGCACTCTTTGTAAGGGTTAACTGTAAACTTGACAAAACTTCTTGTGTTTTAACGACACCATTCCGGAAACTCCCCATGTAAGCATCGTATATTCAGATTCCACGACATCTGCTGTTTTTAAGTACGAAACAAAAATACAAAGAGAAAATGCGGGCAACTCGGCGGTGTTATTGTTTTCCCTTTTGTATAAGCAACGGGAATTATGAGTTTTTGAGACTTTCCCGAATCCGTTTTTCAGCTTTCAGAAGCCAAATTAAATTCTCTTCTATTTTGCAGTCAATTAATTAAACTTGTGGTTCGATTGCTTTATTTGAAATTCCCTCACTCGGCTATGCGCCTTATGAAAAATACGCTTTAATAACGTGGTGAAAGGACAAACTTCATCTTGATTGAGAATATTTCGTGGCCTGTTTCCAAGCAAACCCTTCTCATTTTTCATTCAACAGACCGTTTGGTAACGGCTTTTTGTATAGACTCTCGGTCCAAAATAGCTTTCCGCCGTCTTTGTGGCCTTTTTAAACAAATTATGTGGACCGGGGAAGACCGGAAAGTCCATCCATTTCATTTGGATCTCTTTATCATTTCTTAAGTACAGCGGCTTGGTTTAATTGTATCTAGGAAATCCGTGGATTTAGTGGAAATTTATGTAAATTAAAAAACATTTACATTTGTCGCCCTTTATCGACTGACTTCTAGTCTAATTCAAATAACTGTCGTTATTTTCCAGGGAAAAACAGCCAGCATGAAATAGGATTGTCCTAATACGGAATAACGACGCAGTTAACTTATAATTGTTGTTTATTTGCTCACTCAGGCAGGCGAATGTTAATCATAGTCTGGATAGAGTTGACGTTTTTCGCATGAAGC